TAGACAGAGTGAGCAAAAGGCATCAAAATTGGATGCATTGTGGTTTAGAACAAGGTATCACTTAGCAAAGTGCTAGGACAGTACTAAGAAGCTATTAGTTGAACCAAGCAAACTACTTGGTAGCACTCCTTTATGGTACAGGCAAAAAAATACAATAGCAGCGACAACAAGGATAATCTCATTTTAACCATGTGCAGACGCAGGGGTGCCCCAATACATTTTTTTTTGCGAAAAGTTACTTCTTATTTCATAAATGCTTGAATTGAAGCAGGTGGGTCTAAGAGAAGAGGACTCAGGGAACACTTAGTGGAGGGGGCATACAACTTCAAGTCGCGCCCCTGCCTCACCAAGAAACAAAACTCCATGGAAAACCTAAGGCATAGGGATCATGATGGCCACAGGTTTCTCCACCATAATGAATCTCAGAGTAAACCCTTTGAACACACAAATAAGCAATCCAGAACTCTGCCAGTGCACAGATTCACACAGTCCTGAAGGCAATCGCCCATTTCCTGAATTTCCAGTTGACTCTGTGGAGGGATGTCTAAATACGGGCCACCTTCCATGACGCCTGTCAATGTGCTCTGTCACTCATGGTCCATCATTTTGTTGAACACTGAAAGACCGTCTGCTACAGACCATGCACAGCAGATTTAGAAGTGAATAAAACAGCCGAAGCTCCTTGCTCTCACAGAGGTGCTGTCACATCGGCTGAGCTCCTTCTTCAACCCAATAAAGAGCTGGTTACCCTGAGATTCCACTTCCAGCCTTCCTCTTAGGTTGTATTTTTCATGGAAACTCAAAGAGATATGCACAGATGGAATAAGATACTCAAGGGAGTGAAGACCTTATTCCAAGAGTCAAGAGTGGGACTAGGTAGTGTAGTAGTCATAGGAGTGGAGATCCTTGGCCACAAGTAACTTTCTGCTCTTGGTTTAAGGGTGTATATAAAAGGATTTCCAGAAAGTAGTTGACACCAAATTTTGTTCCTTTAATGCATCACGTCTGCCTATTTTTCTCTTCTTTCTCACAACCACACCCATGTTATAGCCTACTCTCCCAAACACCTGAAGATACATACACAATTACACAAGCTATAAAGAACTACATGAGTCAAACATGATGGCAAACAGGCATTCCCAAGTGAAGACATGCATGACATACTTTCACGGACACATCAATACTTACGAACACATCCATGACCATACTTTTCCTTACAGAGAACATCCAACATGCAGAAACCCATGTGCCTGAACACTAATAGAACTGTGATTTCCAGTCCATCTGCCCACACAGTTGCTCTCCCTGTGGCTCCTATAAGGTTCTGAACTCTAAACAGTTGGTAGCCAACTTTGTATACATGCCTGTAAACAAGAGGGCTCAGCTTTAAATAATATGTCAAAGAAATGACAACTGTGCTCTCTGCCAGAACAAGGATGAATAATTACAAAGTCAGGACATAATTAAGCAATTCTGACTGTCGAGTTTTTGAGCTGCCTCTCTGATGTGCAGGGCTCGTGTGCCCGCCACTCACGCCCTCCTGGACAGGCCTCTGCACCCCTTTGATCTACATTTCCCAGTGCAGTGAGAGGTCATGGTCTGGTCATTACAGAAGCCTTTCATTGGGGGCCTTAAGCTTCTCAGTCTTCAGCTTGGTGCTTTCTGTATTGACAATGGCATGATTCAATGGCCAATATTGGACAAAGATATATATTTTCTTTAAAATTCTGGGAAACGAGCAAAGCCTGGCAGTTGCAGGTCCATTAAGTCAACACATCACACACACAGGGTCTGGAAGAGTCCATTGTAACATCAGCTATCATTTCCTAATGAATGACAGCATCTTTCTGTAGAACAATCAGAGCTCAGATAGAAAGTGGCTTTTAAACAACAAAAGCCAAAAGGCAGCTATGAAGAAGAAATCTGTCACCAGGAGAAAAAGCTAGAGAGAACTCGCACTCCGGCACTGGGACTTGCCAGGTACCATATCAAACCTTTGATGCAGGGGGTTTATTAGCTTCTGGATGATTTTTGCATTTGCGTCAGCTGAGAACACCCAGACTGCCCGTTCCCTACCTCCAAGGCAAGGGCTGTGATTGGAGAGGTATTTTCTATGCTCCCAAATACTTTATGTCAGGAATAAAATGAAAACAGCTCCCCAAATCATGGCCCCCTTGATGATCCATCACAGCATTCTGCTGAGTAAGCACAACAGCCCACCGCTGCCTCCGAAAGGACAGAAGCCAGCCTGCGATGTCGATTGTGCTATGAAAAATAGGTCTTCAGCAAGTGTGCTCAGCACTGCACTGGCAATTTGCAGGGAGGAAATTGCTCTCCACTTAGAAGCTGACTCCAGGCATACACATACCTCCCAGAACATGCAAATGTATATACACACAGCCAGAGAGTGTATACACACCTGCATGGGAACAAACATGTGTCTGTGCAAGTGGCAGCCAGGAGAGAGCTGTGCTTTTGCATGCTAATTTATTCATTCAGCAACGGGCTCATTCTGGCCTCTATCCACCAGAAAAGTGCCCATGTCTACCTCTGAAAACAAGAGAGAGGGGATCGCCAGCCACTCAGGGACGCATGCACTTCACCACAACACCGAGAAAGAGGAACCCTCTGTGCTCCTGAAGGGTTGTGGCCCACGTGGAACACCTAACTAGAAGGGAAGCCCCTGGGTGCTGGTTCCAGTTCTGCCCAGCAGGAGGGTGAGGCCTTGGGAAACTGACGTCTCTCCTATTTCCTCATCTGTAACATCAGGACACAGACCAAGTGACATTGAGATCCCTCCGGTTTGGGAACCGGGCGACTTTATACAAGGAGAACCAAAGGTCCCCACACTTTGCCAGAGCATTTGTGTCTCTATCCTCAAATAATTAATGGGGATTTTGAAGCTTAATATGGTTAGGATGGATGTTCAAGTCAATCACACAAACAGGAGCTAATTCATAATTGACTGGAAACTAATTACGAACTCAGAAGAACATTTCCACTGATGATGCTTCTGACTCCATGAAACAGCTGATACTGGAGTTGAAGGAGCCATTCCCAGTCCCTTTCACCGGCAGGGAAGAATTCCAGCGCCTCTCATTTCCACACCACAGAACAGTTAGAACACCAAAGGCCCTCCTATAAGCTTTTATTTGAACAAAGGGCCCATGGGGAAAATAATGGGTTCACTGCTTTCATAGGGAAGACAGGGAAGTGAGATGTGTGTGGCTAGGGGAGCAGACCCACAGGTGAAATTCAAGTTCTGGCAATTCCTAGCCACATGACCTTGGGTAGCCCAGTTAACTTCTCTGGCCCTGAGTGACCTCACCTGTAAAGTGAGCCAATGATATTTCCCTTCTGCTTTGTAAGATTAGGTGAGGATTCACAAATCTGTTTATAGAGAACTTTAGAATGGTGGTGGGCACATGTTGGTAACCCATCTAAATACAGTGGTTATTATATCTATCAGCCCCTTTGAATTTCCAATGAAAGGGTAGAACTTCCTGTGTCAAAGACATATGACAGCAGGGTAAGGACTGACCTACTTGGTACAATGCTTGCGTGGAGGTAAGGCAAGTACACTCAGCAGACCTTTATAACAGTCCAAGTTAGTATAAAGAGTTCATTTGTTGTATTTTTCAAGGTTTAGTGATGTCAGCTGTCTCTGGGATCTTTTCACCAAAAATTAAAAGAGGCCAAGAAATAAATCACTTCATTTGAACAAAATTACAAAAGCTGGAATAATGAAAGGCAGTCATGTGCAATATGTCAAATCCATGCCTCGATAAAGGGAACTGTTAACACTTAAATAGCTATGAAATGAATCACTCGATTAATTTCCCACATGCTGAAACAGGTAACAATACACTTATCTGCCAGTATTGCCCCTCCAACATCCTATATTTCCAAGACTGTAAGCAATTTTATTCAGCATGATGGGAAATCTGTTGCACCTCCTGGGTTCAGGGAGAGAGTGGCCTCAGGCCTGGTGCCAGCCAAGCCACTTGATGGAAGAGGCTTCAGTGTCTGGTCTGTGTTGGTCGTGTTTGGTTTTTCTCCCCCTGCTCTTCATCACTTCCTAGCAATGTGTAGAGTGCTAGAAGTAACTGAGGAGAAACCAGGTCTCTTGGGTTTCTGTGCCAGTATTTGTAACACAGATGGCAATGGCATGGGAGGTGACCTCATAGTTCCAGGGCCCCACGGAAGTGACGGTCCTCCAAAAGTGTCACTAGGGGACATCAAGGCCAATCCCCATCCACTGGCTTCACTCATGGACCCTAACTCCTCCCAAAGAGATAGTTGTCCACATTTTTCAAAAAGCTCCTTGTGTCTGAGTCCCAAGACCGTAAGCCACACTCCCCCAGGCTCGTCAGAGCTGCCATTAGGATGACACCATGTTCACTTACATGGCCTCCATACATACTCAACTAGCTAAAGAAGGGTCAGCAAACCCCACCCTACTGAGCTCTGGAGAGCTACACGGTGGGGAGCATGTGCCAGCCAAGGGATGCATGATCAGGAACCATGGCCTTCCACCATAGCAGTGATAGGAGAGAACATTCTCGCCAGCTGTCCTTCAGTGCCAAGAAAGAAGATCCCCTCTGAGGCACAAAGGTCTCCTGTCCACTACAGAAATGTTAAATGTCCAACACTCTCTCCTTTGCCAACTTTAGACTTACAAAGGCCATATTTTGGAAACTTCTTTAAGCAGGGGCCTGACATGACCTCTGGAACTTCACTAGTCTGAGCTGAGTATGTTGCTGCTTTACTGATAAAGTAAGTAACAACAAGGCACCACCATACAGACAATATCCCCTTAGACACTGGACACAGGAAAACCCAACACACACCCAGCATCATTTCATGTTTGGCCAACAATGCATCAGTGGAGAGACGGCTGTTCCCAGGCCACATTCTAAAAACACAGGAGGACATCCGGAGAGTAACCAGCACTGAGACATGAAGTCCCCTGTGAACAGCAGGGCTTCGAGGCAGCTCACCTTGGGTTTCACCACCTTCATGAAGGCCCCTCTCACCAACGCCTCCTCTCGCTCTTGTTTGGTTACTTTCTTGGCATCCAGAAACTTCAAGCCGGGCAGCTTGTACAGAACAAAGCACCTGGAGGAGAAGAATCAGAGACAAGTCAGGATGGCAGGGGTCAAAGCCTCAAAGGTTCAGACAATGTGGTCCTCGGGAATCCCCATTATTAGGTCTTCAGGAGTTCAGATCTTGATTGCTGCTTCATCTCTCTTCCTTCACAAAGAAAAAGCAATCACCCCTTGACCTTACACAGACACACAGCTAAACTTTAGACACATATACTAATGGCTGTACTTGACTCACAGGAAGACACACAGACACACACCTTTGTATGAGCCACTGGGACCTTATCAATGTTCTTAACCGCCTTCCAATCCAGAAAGTGGGCTCAGCTTCTCTGCTACACAGGAAAATCTCTATAAAATGAACCTTTAACTGGCTTGTCATTTCTTTCATGGCCATTCCTATGGGGCATCTGTTATCATTCTCATCTCTGAGATTGCAATAAACATCCAATCTGAAGCTGATACAACTATCTGTGATTGAAGACAATAAACTAGGTTGGCATAGCCTGGGTGACTAGAAGTAAGGAACATGAGTAGCTGGGAAGTGCTTTCTTGAGGAATCAAGCTAGGCTCCAGAGGACTATTTTTTTTTTTTTTTAATTTGACAGGCAGAGTTAGACAGTGAGCAAGAGAGACAGAGAGAAAGGTCTTCCTTCCGTTGGTTCACTCCACAAATGGCCGCTAAGGCTGGCATGCTGTGCCATTCCGAAGCCAAGAGCCAGGTGCTTCTTCCTGGTCTCCCATGCGGGTGCAGGGCCCAAGCACTTGGGCCATCCCCCACTGCCTTCTTGGGCCACAGCAGAGAGCTGGACTGGAAGAGGAGCAACCGGGACAGAATCTGGCACCCCAACCGGACTAGAACCCGGGGTGCTGGCGCTGAAGACAGATGATTAGTCTAGTGAGTCCAGAGGACTATTTTTCATCATCACTGGATTATTTCCACATTAGCCCTATGAAGATTATCTTTATCAAGGAGAAGACAAAGGGGTACTGGCTTCTAGGAGCTATTCATGGCCCAACAAATGTTACGTGGCCTTCTTATGTCTCAAATAGCTATTTGTGTAATGAACTATCCACAAGCAAGTATATACAAAGTTGACAAGAAGATGTACTTGGCTAGGGTGTAGGTTCATAAACAATTAAATAAAGAAATAAAATATATGTACACCTGCCTTGACTTCTCCCTCCTCAGTAACCCAGATGCTTTCCCTCAGGCCCCCTACACTCCATCCAGCAATCGTTTATACCCTACTGCTCTTAGCAAGAGGTGAGCACCCAATGTCAGGAACAATGGATTATCTCCCAGGGAATCTGTCGCTTCCTTCCTGCTCCCAGCTCCTTAGCATCCACTCATCTTTCAATTCTCAATCACCAAGGAAGTTTCCTTCTAAACTTCCAGCCTACAATGCCCTCTCTATTTCTAGTACTTCTAGAACAAGTGTCAGCACAGGACAGTCTGACATTGTTTTTTAATTACAAGAGGTCTTCAACAGTTCATGGAAAACACCTATCATGAAACAAATTATGAAAATGTTTTTGTACTACAAAAAACTTATTCTTTCAATCCCATTTGTCCATGAACTTTGAAAAATAATCTCATTTCTTCATGGCATCCAGTTTATACCCTTACCTAAACAATAACTTTCTTAAAGGGTGGGACAAATTTTTTCACTTACCTTCACCTAATCTTGAAAATGATCACTAGGATGTACTCAATGGTGTCCTCGTTCATTTCAGTTGTACAAACACAAGGCAACTTCAAAAAGTTCAGGGAATGGAAGAATTAATAAATATTTATTCGGGGCAAAAAATTGAAGGAATCCAAGCATATGGGGTAATCTTCAAAAAGTTCATGAAATGCATATTATCAAAAAGCTATGAATGGACTCCACAACTAAACATATTTTAACTCCATTTCCCAAAAACTTTTTGAAGTATTCTCCTATTTCCTGAGCACCTTCTATGTGCTGGGGCCTGGGGATACAGAGTTGATTATGATGTGATTCTTGCTCTCAAATGGGCTGTCAGTGTAAAAGGGAAGATAGACTCACACACAGAAGTCAGTGTTGCTAAGTGCTAGGGGTTATGTACAGAGCAGCTATGGTGGCACAGAGAGAGGGCTCTGCCTTACTCACCAGAGGACTGAAAATAAGGGATCAAGAAGAACAGGGAACCTCAAACCAGCACACAGGAATCAAATCCTAGACATGACCAAGCACTGAGCTTGTCCACAGTTACTTGGGGTGTGCCTCCCCCTCTTCAGAGCCCCAGGCTCCTAGAGCCACGTCCCTCAATTACAAGGTGATCTTGTATTACCACGCAGCCTTCATTGGCTTGTCCAGGTTAAAGAGGTGGCTGATGACTTAAATGCCAGAGGCAACGGTCTAGACACCACCAGGAAAAGCCTTCTTGTTACCCACTGTGAAGAATGCATTGAAATTATTTCCAAGTATATTTTTCCTCCCCGAGAAATGCCCATCCTAGTGTCTGAGGGCCTAGAATTCGACCCTATCTCCACCCTGCCTCGCCCCGGGTCTTCACCCATACCCTCTTTCCTATTTCTCCCCGAAACCTCTCCTTTCCCTCTCCAAACACCCCCGAACCTTATCCCAAAACAGAAAAGTCCCACAAAGGGCCCAGGTGCCCTTTGTAGGCCCCGCAGAACTCTCACAGCCTCAGTCTGCAGGAGGAAACCTACATCTTCTGCTTGTAGCAGCAAAGTCTTGATGACAACAGAGTCTTTCAAATAAAGACAAGTACAGACAGAAACAATATGTCAGGAGTGACGCGCACAGGAGTAAAGACACCCACTAAGTGTAGGGTGGGAAAAGATGAATATTCAGGTGCAGAAAACATCAGTATTAGAAAATCAGCCAATGTTTAACGATGGAGTGAAAGATGCCTTCACAGGGCTGGCAGGAGCCAGGATGACAACAGACCGCAGACTGTCATTTCGCCTCCCTTTGGATCACAGCCCTGAAATCAAAGGGGAAGGAGGGAGAGAGGTGCTGACTTTCAGGGTAGTTAAACATCTCAGATGACAAAGAGCTGCTCTTTTCTGTGCATTCTTCTTATACAATCAGAAACACCCTATGACATAGGCTGCCAGTCATTCCCGACATTTGGGGTAGGTGGACTCCCACATGGAAGACCAGCCTCAGTTACCAAGCAGCTGCTTGGAGGGGTTTGAGCGACACCAGGAACACTTGCCCCAGGTAGTTCATTCTGAAACTCAGTACCAGGTCCAGAGTCCCTCCCTGAGAGGTAGCTTCCTCCATTCTCTTCCTCTACACTCCACAAACAGCTGCCAAGCAGCCACCACCTGCCAGGAACTATGCAAGGTACCAAGCACAAGCTGATGAATACAACAGCACAGTTCTGCTCTCAGTGAGCTTACATTTGAGTGCAGTTCTCAGACCTGAGCAGACATCCACACTGTTACTGGAGTCCTGTTAAAACCCTTGTCACCCAGAGCACCTGACTGAGTTGGCCTAGAATTGCTGTTCCTAATAAGCTCCCAGGTGCTACTGCTGCAGCTCCTGCTGAGAACCAATGTCTTGGTGAAAAGGACACCATAAGGGATACGTCTGAGAATTAAGAGGGTGGTGAGGCAGCAGGGCCTACGTTCCACCAACAGTGTGCCCACCTGCAGTGTCTGCAGTACCCAGAGCCAGACAGCGGCCACGTCCACCACTTTTCCCTACCCCGTGCTGGTTGGGACTGGCTCCAAACACTACTGCCAAGTGCTAAGTCCGTGGGCTTCCTGTCTGCTGGTGCCATCCTGGTCTTGGGAGATGTATATCCCTTTCTTCTAGGTCATGTCAGTGTGTTTAAAGCTGAAGCTTCAACCCTGAGTGTAACACAAGTTTGCCATAAAAACACAAGACAGGATTCCCGCAGCCCCAGAATGAAGGCTTTTACAATATCAATTCAACCCTTGTAAATTTAATCCAGGGTTATTTGTTACACCAAAATCTCTTTACCATGATGTATGACTTAGTTACTGGGGTTATCACAGCCGTATCCTAAAGTTGCATAGTACATAAAACATTTCAGTTAACAATGCGGGAAGGTTAACTCCTCCAGATAACCTGCAATCACAAGGGCTAGTCCAGATGACATCCCTCTGTCAGCCTCCACGAGCTATTGATGGTTCAATCAGTTTGTTTTGAAGGTAAAGTACAACAAAAGGGCAGTAAACTTATTCAGACTGTCAACAGGGGCTATCGGGAATGGGGCTTGTAGGTAAGTAATTCTGGGTGTTTTAAGGCTATTATCAAACAGCAATGGTTGAAGGAAGAGACAGCTACTAATAACACAGAAGGCAGCCATCATAAACCACTTTATGGCAGAAACCCCCGGCTATAAATCCTGCGACACCCAGAGACAGCTTCAGATTTATAAAACTGCTTGTTAAGCCCGGGCATTGCTTAATGAAAAGAGATCCGTCTAAGTTCTGAGTCTCACGTCCCCTAGCTCCAGAGGGCAGCTCCAATTTTCCCGACCTTCTCAAGGTGGTGGGGGAAGACCCTGAAGCCTGGGGGTGGCAGGACTCAAAAGTACCCCCAGCTGCAACATGGATGGCAAGGTTGTCCAGGAGAGAGCAGGGATCCCAGGCGGGTGTTCAAAGACCCATTTGTTTGTGTCTAGAAATGGATTTCCTAAAAGTAAGACACTGGCACCCAGAGCTTTTCAGATTCTCTCTCTTCTCCCATAGAATGTTCCATTTTCCTAATGGGCCCCTCTAAACCTTGAGGAGGAGAAAAAAAAAAAAAACACACAGCATAAAGGTTTCTGTTTTTTGTTTGGTTTCTTTTGCTTGTTTGTTTGTTCAAAAACCAATTCTCAATCAGTGCTGCGGCTCACTAGGCTAATCCTCCGCCTGCAGCGCCAGCACACCAGATTCTAGTCCCGGTCGGGGTGCCAGATTCTGTCCCGGTTGCTCCTCTTCCAGGCCTGCTCTCTGCTGTGGCCCGGGAGTGCAGTGGAGGATGGCCCAAGTCCTTGGGCCCT